GTGCAACCAGCAAATCGTAGGACCATAACCCACCCCAAATGTAAACAATTGCAATTCAACATATTCAACAGCCAACAACAAAGCAATGGAAAAAGCGCATCACAGAAAAAAGCACAATAGGACCTAAAAGGACCCCATTATCCAACAAATCAGTAAACATTTTGAATAAACAAAGAAAACACTACATCTTCTTCACCAACAAAAAAAGCACCAAAATGACCCTCCATTATCCAACAAACAAAGAAAACACTACATCTTCTTCACCAACAAACAAAACAAAAGAACTCAAATTTGAACTTTTGTTAAACAATTATCCAAATGACCGCCAGGACCACCAGCACCCAAACTACCTTTTTCCTGGCAATAATACACAAAGCACCCACCAGACCCCCTGGACCACCAACACCCAAACTAATTTTTTCTTAACAACAATAAATAAAGCACCCACATGACCCCCATTCTACAACATACCAGTAAGCATTTCGAATAAACAATCAACAAAACCCACAAATCGCCAACAAAGATTTTGGAATCAACAAACCTAGAATAACAATAATATAAAAAATAAAAAATAAGGAACCAACAAAGCACAAAACGAACTGAAATTAGTACTTACAGTAGGTAGCCGTCATTTGCTCGGGATCCTCGTGCAGATTCCACCCCATTTTGAATCATTCGAAATATTGTCAAATCCTTTGAAAACCAGAAGAACTAAGGGTTTTCAACAAAAACAAACAAAGGGAAGGTAGGCGATGACAAGACGAAATTAGGGTTTTCGCTGAATGAACTATTGATCGCGATTTGGGACAAGTGATATGAAATGAGGGTTAAGGTTCTTTGATTTGGGATCTGGAATGAAATTGAAATGGAATTGAATTAATTGCATGGTTGGGGCTTTAGGCTTCAATTTGAATTGCACGATTCACGAGGGATTTTTTTATTTTTATTATTATTATTTTTTTAAATTGTAATATACACGTGTCATCCTTTTAGATCCACGTGTATCAGAAATCAACGTGGAAGTTCATATGTGGAGAGGGTGGGACCAACATAAGCCACGTCAACATATAACAGAGGAATTGACAGACAACGTAACGGAGGTAGAACATTGCAACAAATTTGTAAGAAAATGTATGACATTGAAATTTTTTAAAGATGAGGTATGAAACTGTTAACGACTCAATAGTTGAGGTAGTTTTTTGTAATTTACCCAATAATTTATTAAAAAAATTGGAACACTAAATGTGTTTGATAAAACATAAAAAAAAAGTGTTTTTTTTTTCAAAGAATAGTGAACAGTTCCAGTAATGAAATTTTGAGATGACAAGTATACCCTGCATATTTTGCAATTTACAATTTTGTCCCTGTATTATTTTCTTTGGTAATTATTATATCATATCCAATATCATATGCTTTCTAGTTATTTAACATATCCACAATATTTTAATATAAAAATTTACCAGACACTCAGACACTATTCTTTTTGTTAAAAGCACTTATACAAAAATAAGTTTACCGAACACTCAACGACTTCATTTTACAACTGTTTATTTTTACAGCACGTCAGAAATAATTTTTTTTAAAAGCACAATAATACCATTGTGAGATTTAGCTCACTCTTCTATTTTTTAGTATAGATACTATCATTTGTTCAAAAAAACAAAAAACACCGCAATACCAAACTTGCTTTTACATTAGTTGAGTTCGTAAAAAATAAGAAGAGTGGATGGGCAAAAAATCAGTCATTAAATTATGCAACCATTATCTCAACTTTTCACATGACGTTGGACATACAGAGTGGTGAAATCATTTAGGATCATGTAAATGCATGATTTCTTAAAAAAAAAAGAAAATGTAGATGCATGATTTATTTTAAAGGAAAACTAACCAAAAGTCCAAAAAAACTTCTCTTTTAACGAAAAGCCATTTTTAAAGGTATAGTGAATATTGCTAGTTAAAAGTAAAATTGAGGTTTTTTGTTAAAAGTGAACAGTACCGAGAGTGTTTTATTAAAACTCCCTTATTTTAAAGGCGGGTAAAATTTGGGTTAGTTCAGTTTAAGCACACCATCGAACGACAATGGTTTAGAACTGATTAGATCGGTTGACCAACTGTTGTGTTTGGTTTGATTTGGTTATATTTTAGGAAACTTTAACGAAAGGCACCCGGTACTGTTCACTTTAACGAAAAACCACATTTTTACACTAAAAAGTCAATCATGGTACTATTCACTTTACCCTTTATTTTGTCCTTATCATTAAAACTCAAAGTTTTCAAGCCCTTTTCATTAGTTTTCCTTATATTTTAACATGCGCTTATTACCAAATTAAAAGAAATTTATAAACATATTAACTGAAAACCATTCATCATCAACTGTGATGTGATCACGACCCAACTTTTAAGAATAAGGATTCTCTCCGGATCATTTTTGTGAGAATCCAAAAGATTCTCAAATCTTGTTCATTCATCGTACATTGTGCGGTCAATTTTTGTCAAGTATTATTTATATTTAATTTTAAATAAAAGTATTTAAAATGATATCTTGCTGTATGATGTATGATAAACGGACATAATTTGAGAACCCTCTAAACTAATAGTTAGTCAAGTCCAATGTTTGTTACTTCATGGAACTAGCTTTAGTGGGAGTAAGCCAGACTTGCCTCGACTAGGACCGTGCTAGACGGTTTTAGCGATAGTCGTCGCGAACCATAAGACTCCTTCAATCACTCTCTGCTCGCATTCTTTCCCTCTCCTCGTCCCCAACCCTGAATCATGAATAAAGACCTCGATTCGAACTTCAATCGGAGAACTCACGAGCTCCGTCGTCCGATTCACTCCGCTCAGACCAAGCTCATCAGTCTCGCCCTCCAATTGGGCTCCTTCCTCTTAGACCTCAATTTTCGACGGCAATGACTTTGTGCTCCATCCTCCTTGACCTCTTCCACTGCTTCATCTCCAACAACGGTCTCATCAACTGTGTCATCTCCGTCGCCTGCTTCGCTTTTTGGGATTCTACATAAATAGCATAGGGTATGTTTTTGAATTCTCTCTCTCTGTTTCAGAGCTTTAGTTTTAAACAACGTTACCCAGATGCAGAAACCCAGATGCAACACCTAAATCTCAAAACAATAACAACAATCCCAATAACAGAGTCTTGTGCACAATTTCAGCGAAGGCGAGACGAAACCTCTGTACAACCGGCAATCTGACGAAGCATCTGAAAATTCTGATGAATCAACTGCACAATGCGACGAAGTCTCTGCAAATTGAAAAAAAAAAACAATTTGGAATTTTTTCTGGGTTTGATTTGAATTCTTTATTGTAATTGATATTGGAGAAATTGGGTACAATATTTGGATTATGGGTTGAAGTACATATTCACAATTTCCTAAATTGTTGATAGGAAATGAAATGAAAAGAAGAAGAAAAGTTATGGGCGGTGCGAAGAAGTCGGGGATGAAAAGAAAAGAAAGGTAGAGAGACGGGAGAGAGAGTGAGCGAAATAAAAAAGCATAGAAAAATAATAATAAAATATCAACAAGATAAATTAAAATTTGACAAAAAAATATTTGAATTCCAATAATAACTTAGTCTGTGATTTAGTCTGGTACTACACCAACACTTCACTGTTTTTATACTGCTTAGTCCAAGTCAAGTCAGTCCAACTTAGTTCTTAAAGCTAGTTCAGTCTGAAATAGTCCGATGCAACAAACGCACCCATAAATTCCTAGCTCAAAGTCTCGAAACTTTCAATCTAACAGTTTCAAAATTCAAAAAAAAAAAATTATCACAAGTGGTCCATGAAATTAATTCATAACATCAAGATGATCCCTCAAAGCAAAAATTAATAGGGAATTTTAACGAAAAGCACGCAGTACTGTTCACTTTAACGAAAAACTACATTTTTACACTAAAGAGTCAAACTTGGTACTATTCATTTTACCCTTTATTTTGTCTTTATCATTAAAACTCAAAGTTTTCAAGCCCTTTTTATTAGTTTTACTAAATTAATATGCGTGTGTTGATGTGCTTCTTCTAACAAATTTATTAGACTTATGGCTCTACATATATGCCACATCAGCACACACTAACAGAAAATTTGATGGAATTATAAATGAATGATCACATTGACTTGCGGACACTCATATTCAAAGACAACAATGACCAATTTTCATTAGCAAGGACGGTCTTGAGGCTATGGGTCGACCTCATGGATCACTTGTGATAAAAATCCACATTTAAAAAAATAAGAAACCTTGCATGGATCACTTGTGAGTTTGTGATTCCCTCATCTCTCTCTCCTTTTTCTCCTTCCCGACATTCACAAAGAAGAAACTTACTGTCTCCCTTTTCTCTCTCTCCTTTCTTCTCCTTCTCCAACAACTGCGAATTGAAAAACAACGGCGAATTTCACAAGGACGACATGTGCATTTTTCTATTCTTTTCTTTAATCTTCCTAATCTGATTACAGATCCACCAAATTAAAACCAATTGTCAAAGTAACGATATGTCTATACCAATACATAATTTGAACCCTATTTGATCGAATCCGACGACTATGATTAGAGCATCTCCAATTAGATGTCAAAAGATAAAAGTCAAGTTTTAAAACGGTTTCACCGTTAGAGAGAACAATTTACATTGAAAGGTTTCACTGCCACTTAGTGTCCTGATCCGATAATTATAATGGCATGTGTTGAAAAACTTACACGTCATTATTTTGTTAAAACGGGAAGATGAGTGACGGTGAATCGGTTTCATACAAGTCATTCTCACGAGAAGGCCAATTTATGATTTAGCATATATAGGAGTATATGTAACAAGTAAGATAATAAACTCCAAGATTAATTCTCCGAAACAGACATCATCCATACATAATTTCTGAAGTGTTCCAGCACCAGATATTCTCAAAATACTGGTGAATGTCAAACACCAGACCAGACATAATATATATATATATATATATATATATATATATGTGTGTGTGTGTGTGTGTTATATCAGCAGCGTGATATATTAGTGAAAGTTCCTGCCAAAAATCCCCAAAGCTTAAATAGTTGCTGTCAAAACCACTAGTCAAAGTTCATATGCTATTCTAACGGCATCGAGCCGTGGGGGATAAGAAACTGAAGTCTGCAACCAATCTTTAACAGAAGAACATGGAGTTGATCACATTTTTATGCAGCTTGGGTAACTCGGGCACCGGAACAGCACCTGGAACTGTGATTCCACCACCATGGCTTGAGGCAGTCTCCGACATTTCATCAAACTTGATGAACTGGGAAATCTGGGCAGCAGCTAGATGGGCGTAGCAGATTGGAGCAACTGCGGTATAGAGAAACCGGAAAAAACTTATCAAGGATCTCATAAAACACCGTGCGGAAAACAGAGCAAAGGAGAAAATAAAGAGCAGCTTCTAAAGACCGGTTCATAACCTTTACTTAATTTTCTAGTCATTACTACCATTTAACTGTTCAAACAACTACATGTACAAAAGACAGCATGTTCTGTGATTTCCTTTGCAGAACAAGGTGTGAATGTGAAGTGACTAAAATCATTACTAGTGCAGCAACAAAGAACTCATACAGGCTTATCGGAACATTAATCAGTGTAGTCACGCTCGCAAGAATGAAGTCAATTGGACATTGGAGCAGAAAACAAAACAGGACAGATTATATTACCTACGGATATGGCTGTCGTGCTTCTTTGGTACCTGTACAAAACTCAAAGTAAGGAGTCAGGTTTAAAACTCGCGCTAACTACTTGACAGATAAATATACAAAAAGCTATTGTTTCCTGGGATGGAATTCATTGTGCAAACTCTAAAAAGATGTGACTTGAGAGAATACTTACACATAAGACAGAGAATGAACCAATTCTTGCAAGTCATCCGTTGAAAACCCAAGTTCATCATACAGAACATGATAATGGGTAGGCCGAGTAGTCCCCTACATGAACAATCCAAAGTCAGTTTAATCTCCATTCAGAGTAGCTGAATCAGATAACAATACTGTCTAAAACAAATTAGCAGAAAGGGACTCAGGACTCAAGTTTTGTTTATTCCTTTCCGTATTAAGCTTGCCCAAGAAACATGGAGTAAATTTGTTATATAATAAGTGGCAGGTTTTGGTTTAGGATACTCACAATCATCCCAGCATGAGAGCACAAGTAGAAATCATTGTTCTTGGGGTGACAGACTTTGTTGTCTATGATGGTTCCTGAGTTCAAGTAATCAAGGAAAAAACTTGATTTAGAAACAAAAGAACATTTCTTTGTTCTTTACTATTCTGAAATCCAATTGATGGTAAAATGACTAACCCGGTGGAACATTGTCAGGTGAATGCGTCTGGAAGAACTTGGTGTGATGATTCTTTTGTGCAACAATCAACATGAACTTTGGAGACCAAGTCTCATCAAGAAATTTGCAGGCCTGCAAAAAGATTAAAAACACCAAATTACAGTTGAGACATTTCCTCTTGCAAGTAAAGAATGTAAAAACTAATAAGAAAAATGTGGATTCGCATCGTGAAAACCTCAATAATCTGATCCAGTTCCACATTCAAGACTTGGTTGAACTGTGATTCACTCACTCCATCCCTAAATAGGAGAAAAACCAAGTGACAGGAAGATTAGCAAGAGTTGAGTGTTAATGTGCAATCTTTTCAAAACCACTATAAGTGATACAACATTTTAACTGTTTAAACCACTAGTCTTTTAGTTAATATGAAATTGAAAGTTCATTGATTTGTTGAAAAACGTATCACGTTGAGAAGCCTGTTTTGAAACTACAAAACAAAGCATCAAAAAGATGTTGGCAAATTGGTACAGAAAATAATGTACGCTACATGTACACATACAGAAACTAGAGTTAATCCGAACATGCATTTAAATGGTAAGTTCCAATTGAATGCAAACAATAAGAGATAAAATACACGTTAGAGGATTAATGAATGAAAGGGTTGAAAGAGTGATAAGAGGGATAACACTAGCTGATATTCATAGTATTACAAAGCATTTCTAGTGACTAACATTAACAGGTTCCTCATCCTTTGATTATATAGTAAATTAGGCCATATTCATTGGGGTATCAAATGGTAACGATATGAGATTAATAACAAAGAGAGCAGATCATTCTAGAGAAGGCACAAACTAGAAATGCAGTTGTTCATTTGTGGCTCATTTATTACTCCTTGAATATATTAGGAATACCACACCTGAAAATAATTATCTGATCCGGCTTCCTGCTTCCTGAAGTAGCATAAAAGTCTACCAACAGTTCCCTGAAAAGAACACAAACGTTACAAGATTGATTGAAACATATATTGTAAAATTTTAACAATAATCAGATAAGAAAAACTGGATGCAAAAATATCAAAGTGGCAGTTTGAATGTAGTGGTGAAAGCCCCAGGGGAGCCAACCTGATTATGCCATCATCCTCTTTATCTGACACAGGCTTGAACAGAGAAGCTATCATTTCCACTTTTGGTGATTGAGTACGCACAGCAGCTCGGTAACGAGAAATCAAGGGCCAGTGCCTGGAACTCACCACCTACAAAATTCCCAAGATAAGCAGAGAGCTACATATTAAATAGACACTTACAACATGACACAGCAGCAACTACCAGGTTGACGGTATAGAGTGAAGTTCTCTAACTAGTCCAAAAAGCATAGTAACAATTATGGCAGAGAACATAATTATAACAAGTTCAGTGTCAAGGGAAAATATTACCGCTGCAATAGAAGGCACGTCTGACCGCCCAGGTGAGCCGTGTGACACATCCATACCGAGAATCAGAGTGGGGCGCTTGGAAACCAATGGAATAGAAGGAGAATGCTCCACACTTAGCAACGAATTCATTCCACCCATCTGCACAAGCTCATATAAAGCAAGGAAGACAAAATTAATGCATGAGTCATAAACCACAAGACAATTCCACAAATTAGATTTGTAAACGGAAATTTACCTTTGCATTGATTTTCAGTAGCACATTTGTAATGTACTGATCATTCACCTTTGTAGGAGCAATGCACTGTGTTACAATCCCAAGCTCAGAAAGATTCTTCCTTTTCCATGGACCTTGAATTTGAAGAATAATCAATACATGAATACTCAACATAAAGGTGCAGATAAAATGATATAAGAAAAGAATAATGAGCTAACCATATATGTCAGAATTCTTCCTCTCAGGAAGAATACACAACAGAAGTTGAGGTGGTCCTGGAAGTTTTGACTTTATGTATTCAAACATCTTATCCACTCTAACGGGAGCTGGTTCACGTCTGTGCTGGTTACTCTCATCAAATACCATAAACGGTTCCTTTATGGCCTATATTAAAGAATAGTTCTTTTTAGAATAACAAATAACCAAAGGAATTGATTTACAGTAAAGGAATAGTTCTTTTATAATATAGTTCAGAGAGAGATTCTTACAATTCCTTTCATATTTCCGCACTTCATCATATTGCTGACCAGGTTCCGAGTGTCACAGCGAGCAGAGAAATTGACAATAGCCCAACGATCTATAGTCACAGGTTGTACCAGTTTCTGCGCACAAAAAATAAAGGTGAATTGAGGTGAAAAATAAATCTTGATTCTGGTGAAACAGAAAATACATAGAAGGAGTGGTACCTTGTTGTTAAAATTCCACCTCCCGTTGCGCGGAAAAAAGTCCTCTCCGTTCCCAACTTTTAGCTGCAGGGAAGTATCAATAAACAGAGAAAATCAGAACATAAGAACTTCTACAGCATCCAAAAGACAAGTCAGATCAGTTTTGAAGGAAACAAAAATGATAATAAAAGATGTCTACCTTTGGAGCTGGCAATACACGGCCTTCAACATGCACAAAGTCAACACCAATGGACACTCCAGAAGAACGAAGCATCAGGTCAGCATCATAATTACTAGTCCTCAGTGCCTGAGAGAATTAAAATTTGAGGAGTCAGTGAGTTTTAGATACGAAGATAGAACAGTACCATATAGATGGCACACATAACTTTACTTACATCACGCAAAACTGACATCCTCTCCTGGGGCTTCTGCCGAGACTTCTCCACTAGTGAAGCCCTTTGCAAATTGGTTAAAGATTTTGTATAGCGTTGCAGTGAAACCAAGTTGCAAAGCTACAGAGGCAAATAAGAATGATAAAACAATTATGGTATTAAGCTTAACAATAAATAGTCGAAAGTTAAAAGTATCACCTCAAGTGGAAAGTAAGATGGCTTCTTTGGTTTCCCAACATTGATGCATGGGAAGTCTGCTGAATCCCGCAATGGTAGGTTTTTATAGACAGCAAAATATTTAGAAACCGTAATTTCTTCTCCATCACCATCCTGTCCTTTTTTCGATTTCAGGAAGAACCTAGACAAAAATGTGTAGAAGTAAATTATTAGATTAAACACGAAACCAGAAATTGAGATGATCTATAAAGCCTACTTCTCATATGGCATGGATATAAGAATAAAAAAAAAAGATCACCTCTGCTCTTTGCATGGTCTATCACTCAGTCCAGTGATTTTGTACTCCATCTTAGATGAATAGGTTGTGATCCTCAGATTTTTCAGCATTCTCTTAGCCTAGTATGAGATTAAAGAAAGCTCAGACCATGAACAATGCCACACCAGTGCAATATAAAAAAAGTAAGCAACCAATATTACCTTCGTCCAATCGATCTGGTAAGGAGTTTTAACGTTCTGGTTTAGCATCAGAAAGTCTAGAACGGGGCCAGGTTTTACAATCATTGTAGTGGATACGTCTGCATGGAAACAAGGTGTCAAGGACAGAGATTAGATTGACAGTAGAGTAACAAAAACAATCCAAGCATTCTCGCTTAGAAGCTTACCCATATTAAGAGATAGACCCCCTTGGGTGGCTCGGAAACTTGAATGAAAACCCCTGCAGCCTAACACACCTGATCCCAAGTCCGCGAAGTTCCTTGGATTGTTGTGGAAGAAAGACTGTCGGACAAGAAGACAACCCCTGTAGAAAAACACATTATTATACACCAAATGAAATAGTAGACAATCACTGAGGAAAAGATACAACAACAGTCAAGTACTTACTGTTTCGCTGCATTCTGCCTCAGTACGATATCAAGAACCCTCACCGCTTCCTGAAAATGTTCTGAATCCTGGCCACGTATTGCATTCACGATTGCTTGCATTGGGATTTTAGTAGCATAGTTGATCAGCACATTTAATTGTTTGGATTGAAATTGCTTCTTAACTCTCTTCCGATCTCCCTCACTGTCAGCACGGTTGGAGCCACCTCCTGGGCTTGCAGTCCTCCTAGACATTTGTGCAAAAGGACCAATGAGACAATTTCCTGATCGGAAACAAGCGCCGGAAAAATACATAATAAACGACATGTCAGTACCTGGTCGATGAGATGTCATCCAGTACAACTGTGAACTCAAGTCTGTTGTGAGGAAGAGGGCCAACGGTAAACAAGCTTTTCTCTCCGTCATAAGCAAATTCTTTATCGGCAAGCTCCATTGCGTATGTCTGTTTCACTTTATCAATGACCTTTCGTCCAATGCCTTTCCCATCGACGGGGGTACCATCTTCATAAGACATCGCAATCTGTACCACCATTTAAGTATTTAACACCAACACAATTATACAAACATAAACTTATCTTCAAAGTATAAAGCAAGAGACAACGAGTATAGGTAATTACACTGTAATGGAAAAAGTACTCATCAGACTTGTTCACTGCCACTTTGAAATGGTTGGTCAGAAGAGGGATCTTCTGCCCTTTAGTTCCATTCCCACTCCTTGCCATGGGAACACGTTTTGGAGTTGATGCTTTCTTATATAGTTCAAGAGACTTTTCCTCTGCCACAGTCGGGACAACATTTGGAGGAATAATGGGTGGTGGTGGAGGAAGTTCGAGTCTATCGGGATTCAAGCGCTCCATGTCCTAAGACCTGCTCAACCACAAGCCAATTCGATCAAAGGACGTCGACACAGAGAATTGCAAGAGGATCCGAACCCATGTATTGTGGCAATCATGGCAGACAAGTAAGATGATGTGCGCACTGTCAATATTTCTTAGATGCAGGGGAAAACAGGAGGAGTTTATTTCTCTAATTAGATAACTTCACTAAATTTAATGAACAGGTTGAATCCGCATTTATAAACTTGATGAGCTCCGTTAAAAGGAAAATCATCGGAGGAGAGGAAACAAAGCGTTACGAAAACAAATCTTGTGTAGATACTATTCGTTAGGAACAGTTTAGGACAAAGCAGATAAATTAACGGAAAAACGTTCTACCGAATGTGTTCAAATGCGATTCTTCAAATATAAATGTTCGTTAGAGTAATGTTTTCTTGTCTCACTCATTTACTTCATTTTCAGTCTGCAAGACTTCACATGAAGGAATTCTCAAACATTCGAAAAACCAATTATTGTGTGTCATTCAAGCAAAAGGAATTTTCGTGAGGGAAAACGTTATAAAAACTTGTACCATATTGGCCTACCACAGTATCAAATCTGTACTGAAAGAATTTCATAAATCTTAAAGGCAACCAAGAGTTTCATAAATCTCAAGGACAACCAAGAACCGGAACTTCGCAAATAGAGTAATGTATCGACAGTAAAATTAAAAATATATATACAAACATGAAAACTGTAAGCTCAAGGCTTCTTAATTAAATGGTTACATATAATCAAAACACAGCATTCATGAAGAGAAAAGAACAATAACGGTGTTATGGAAACATTAAAAAAAAAAAGCTAATTAAAGCCCAATATTAAGCCAATGGAAGTAAGAAAATGGCAGCAGAACAATCAAACATTCGTACAAAACGTTGCAGTAAAACAGCAAAAAAACATCCACACACATTTTCACAAGGAAAAAAAAAACCATTTTCTTGCTCAGAAAATTTTCTGATCTTTTTACATACACAAAAGAATATGCCAAAACCCAAGAAAATATACACATATATATATATATGGATGTGTATATATATACACATATTATGTGCTTTATTACTCAGATCTAAGCTCCATAAACCAAAAGGCAAGCCTCTAAAATGGCATTTAAAGAGAGACCTTTGAGAGTACAGAATTAATAGTAGCACCCAAAAAATATAAAATTACAAAAATCAAACTCAATTTGTAAAAAAAAGGTCAAGCCCTAAAATAATAAAAATATTATTATTTGCTTTCACGTAGGAAGCAAAGAGACAAAAGGTTTAAAATAATGAAAAGGAATCAGAAAAACCCAAACTTGTGAAGCCCCAAATGCAAATCTCAGTCGTCAGAAGCAACAAAAACAACCCGTAAGCGCAGATTCAGAGAAATCAGAGACGACCCAGCTCTGAAACAACGTTTAGCTTTCACGTATTTGGCATAAACGTGAAGCCAGAGTGAAAACAAAAACGAAAGCCCAAAAGCATGCAATAACATCACCAAAAGTTTCAAATTCCAAAAGCAATTCCCAGTCGTCCGATGTCTCATATGGTTTCTGTAGCAGTAAGGCTAAAAATTTAAAATAAATAAATAAATTTAAAAAATAAAATAAAAGCAAAAATACCCACTGTTGAAGGAAGCATGAGAGCTCTGAAAATCTGGCTTAGTGAGCGTATCTGAGCTTTTCAGCTGGAGTAAAAACATACCAAAACAAAAAACTAAGAACCCAAAATCCAAATCTTTCTCAGAAACCAAAGAAACCCAGAATCTAAACGCACAAATCAAACCAAAAAAAACGCGATCACTGCTGAAATAAGCATGAGAGCTCTGAAAATTGTCTTTTTAACGCAGTGAGCATATCAGAGCTCCCCGTGGGAGTGAAAAAATACTAAAACCAAAAACTCGACATCCCAATCGTTTTCATAAACACAAAAAACCCAGAAATCTACAAACACAGACAACAAAAATCAAAGAAGGAAGACGATCCACTGCTGATATAAGCACGATAGCTCTGAAAATCGCTTTTTAGCGTAGTGAGCATATCAGAGCTTTTCAGTGGGAGTCAATAATACCATAACCAAAATCTTAAAAAAATCAAAATGCCAATCGTTCTCTGAAACCCACAAAAATCCATAAGTTTACAGAGACTAAGAAAAATCAAAGAAAGAAGAAGACCCACTGCTAGAACGAGCATTTCAGAGCTCCATAGCAAGTGGGTTTTCACATAGCAAGCACATTGAGGCCTATCAGCGGCCTAAACCAGAACAAACAGTACGAAGAAGATGGAGAGAGAGACCCACCAGAAGAGAGAGAAACTCAAAACCCAGCAAAGCAAAACAAAACCCAGAATGCAAAATCGCAGAGCGATTAGGGTTTTCTGCTTGCAAGCTATGGCTTTTAGGGTCCTTGGAAATAAGAGTATATCTATATATCCTACACTGTATTTATATGCGAATGGGAATCCCAGCAAACGGAGAGAGTGGTCTCACAAAAGGCTGCTGCTTCCTGCAACGTTTGTTTTGTCTGTTTTGTGCGCGCTCTCTTCGTGACGCGGCAGCCGTACGGACGCAAGGGCATGATGGCATTGTACGTCGTCCAAATCCAATGCGAAGGGGCCGCGTGTCCTGCTTGCCTTTCGATACCCCAGCTCCTAATTTTTTGATTCCGATATTGTCCCTGCCTTTTCATTTATTCCCGCTTTGTGTCTCGTTAACGACGTTAAGACGCTGTTCAGAAGGGTTCGGTTTTTTGTCCTAATCCGGATTTTAATGAAGAGAAAAAAAGCTGCATAAATAAAATCTCTTTTCTTATTTTGTTGTCTTTTGGATTAATGCGTAATTACATTTTTTGTTGTTGGTAATTATTTAGTTTTGCCAAAATTTGCATTTTTTTTTGTGTCAAGCACAATAAGTTTCAACTATAATACAAGGCAGAACCGGATTTTAATGAAGAGAAAAAAAGTTGAATAAATAAAATCTTTTTTCTTATTTTGTTGTCTTTTGGATAAATGCGTTATTACATTTTTTGTTGTTGGTAATTATTTAGTTTTGCCAAAATTTGCATTTTTTTTTTTGTTGTGTCAAGCACAATAAGTTTCAACTAATACAAGGCAGAAAAAAGCCCAAAAAAGAAGCTCAAAACAAAAGCATAGCACAACATAAAAGGAAATGAGACAATGGCAGCCGCATTATAAAGAAAATTAGGGGTGATTTTCGGAAATTCGGACACAGCATTTCCAATTTTCATTCTAAAATTTCAGGATCTGATCAAAAATAACATTCCAAGTTTCATTCTAAAGTTTGGGATCAGATCGGATCGGAAACAACGTTTTTAATTTTCATTCTAAAATTAAGAATTTGATCATATCATAATTTTCAAATTCAAAATTTCGAAGTTTGGAATCAGAGTAATCTCGAAATTTCGGAACATGCTTTGGAAGTTCATATATTTTACAATTTTTTTAATATTCTTGAACTTTACCGCACATAAAATTTATTGCTCTTTCTTAATAGTTGATATGATTAATGTATAAATTTAATTAATTTTGTGGTATACTATATTCTTGTCCTTTTTAATATATAAGTATATTTGATTCCGATAAATTTTATATTATAAAATGAACAAAATATATTCAAATTTAAAATAAAATACATAATATTAGTTAATAACTATAAATAAAGGGGAATATTTCGAAATTGTTTTGATCAGAATATAACTAAACATAAAATAAAAATGAGGAAAATCTTTTTTTTTTTAAAGTAACTAAACATAAAATAACTAAATTGACCATTTGATCGTCAATTGGCCGTAAAGTAACTAAACATAAAATAAAAATGAGGAAATTGTTCCGTAAAATCGTCCTATTATTAAGTTATGCAATTCATATTCGACAAGTGCTAAACTTAAATTGACCATTTGATCGTCGATTGGCCTCAAAAGTATTTTTGTCATTTCGCTCATTTTAGTTCTCTAACTCGTCATTGATCCAAAAACCTTAGAATGAACTCATCTGGGTGTATAAAGGTTAGATGAAACTTGGCTAACTCATCTTCTTGAGCGTGCACCTCAATTTACTTGCGAATACAAACTTTCGCCAGACAAACGATATGGTAGTGTCATAAATTATTCACACCATATTTTGTACTAAAAGGGATTAGATTTAAGGGTTCCAATGTGCACTTCTTAGTATTTATTTTAGGCTTATTAGTCGAAATACCCGTGAAACTAGTTTTGTCTCACTTTGCCCCCTAAAACTAACATTTTCAACTCTTTTGTCTCACTTTACCCACTTATGTTAATGGATTGTTAAATTTAAGAGTATTTTAGACATTTTAATTTTTACACATTTACTTACTTCTAGCCTACATTTTAATTTTAATTTTTACCAAACAAGTTTCAATTTTATTTTTGACAACTCTAATTCCAACACATAAATTTTGGGCATTTTAAAAAAATAAATTATTGAATCAATAGAAAATTTCCAAGCAACAAAATCATTTTGTATCAACCAAAATAAGGGTTACATTTGTTCGTAGAGTCATTTCACTTGTAAGACATCCATATATTTGCTCGAAACTTTACAATTAAAAAATATTCATTACAATAAAATCATTATACCATTAAGCTATTCTACCCAAGCAAAATACTTTCCAAACCAAAAAAATCATTTAAAGCAAATGTGCACAGTTTGAATAAGCTTATGCCTAGGGGAATCAGTGCTTAACACTGTGAAATTTTTTTGTTTCAAACTAGGCACATTTGCTTTAAATGATTTTTTTGGTTTGGGAAGTATTTTGGATATGATAGCTTGATGGTATAATGATTTTGTTGTAATTAATATTTTTCAATTGCAAATTTTCGAGCCAATACATGGATGTCTTGCAAGTGATGCTCTACGAACAAATGAAACTCTTATTTTGGTTGATACAATGATTTTGTTGCTTGGAATTTTTCTATTGATTAAATAATTTATTTTAAAAAATGCCCAAAATTTATGCGTTTGAATTAGAGTTGTCAAAAATAAAATTGGGACTTGTTTAGTGTGTAGTATAGAGGCAAATAAATTTGTAAAAATTAAAATGTCTAAAATACCCTTAAATTTAATAGTCCATTAACGGAAGTGGGTAAGTGAGACAAACGAGTTGAAAATGTCAGTTTCATATGGCAAAGTGAGACAAAACAAATTTCAAAAAGTAACTAAGACTCAATGGCAGTTTCAAAGGGCACTTTGATTAATAAGCCGTTATTTTATGGCACAACAATGACTATATATATGTAATTTTTGCCTCCTAATTACATACTAAAAAAATTAAGGATTTTATTCTTTTTTAAAATAAAAATACGATTTTTTTTAAAAATAAAATCTTAGTATAAAATTGAAAATCATGGCAGTTACTTGCATGGATAACCTGATTGGTTCGGTTTTAACCTCCTTGTAAGAACACGAGAAAGCCTAATGCAAGCGACTCACGTTTTTCTTACTTGGATAACGACAAATACAATCCAGCTACATTAAATATTCAATTCCGTCTCTCTCTTTTTTTTCCCTCCTTTTCATTTTATTTAAGGGGGTTAGCAAATATAAAAATAAGTAAAAAAGTTGAGATGTTTCAATTTAATGCACTATTGAGATGTTTGAATTTAATGCACTATGTATAAATACTGTGTATATAACATTATATTTCATTAAAAGAATGAAGGATTTGGATTAAACCACAAAATATGTCAGATACACTAATTTAGTTCAAATCTAGGGGTTTAATCAGAATTTTAAGTGATTATCTGAAAGCCTAGGTGTATTCAATCAGGATTTCAAAAACGTTTATAACATTTAGGTGTATTCAATTAGAAACTAATTTTAAAGGATTTTAACAAATTTAGAAATTTGAGAGAATTCGACAGATTTCATAGTATATTTTTTGCATTTTCAAATCTCACCTCACTCCCTGAAATTTTGAGAGAATTCAATCAAAATTTTGCATAAATCGATAAAAATTAATTAAATTCTATCAAAATCCACAATTTATAAATTCATTAAAATATTTTAAAATTCCAATTAAATACACTCCGAGTCTATGGATTTGTTTTAAAGCAAGAAGCCCATAGATTTGTTTTAATTAGTTAGATAAGAACAAAATCATAAAAGCTGGCTCCATTAAATATCCACTTGAACATTTCGTTTCATATATATTTTTCTTTTTAAAAAGCGCTCCATATATATTTTCTTCCATAAATATTTTGCGACTTTACCAAAAAGACAAATATATTATTTATTGCATGGCTTTCATGCGTCCAATGACAACCAAATGGAAGGTCTGCAATTACACAGCTCGGATTTTTCACCTGGATTTCTTACCATGCTTGCATGCTTCCCATATGTAACATATTCACACTTGGCGGTAAAAATAAATTAACCAAAACTTCATCAAACTCTAGTAACTTAATCTTACCAGCTTCCTTTCCTCTCTCTCTCTCTCTCTCTCTCTCTTCTATATATATATATATATATAACCAACCCTTAACATTTACTCGTTTCTGCTAGTCACTATTCTCATACACATGAATCCTTGATCATGGCCCCTTACCAAGCCCTGAAGATCCATGCTTCCAACGCCGTTGTGTGGGACTACCGCACAGGGCGGCTAGTGGCTCCCCCAAGGTCGCCGCCACCACCACCGCGGGATTTAGTACGCTATGTTATGCCTAACGGAGAAGAGGCAATTGCATCGCTTGTGAATGGAAATATAAATGGGCACGATCATCTCTTACATCAAGAAACTATTGATACATGTTATGCCCTTCGCAGAAGGGCAAGAAAAACAAAAGGGAGGAGAAGAATTTCTGTCTACTATGATAGATTTTCTGCTGGCCACGAATGGCTTTTGGATGGGTGGGTGGCTGAAAACAGGACTACTCCATCGGGGCAACATTGGGTAACATTCTCTACTCTAGTGTCCAAATTAATTATTTCATATTAAGTGATTCTATATATATTTTTGCCCATTTATATTATTTTTCTAGACTGCATTTCTATATATTGTAGATTTAAATTAAAATTTCTTCTCTATATGTAGATGTTATACTCTTCTAGCTTAAATTGTAAATTTTTTTCTTAATTAGTTCTCTATTTGTGGATTTGTGATATTTTTTTTTATCTTTTTAGTTTAGGTTATAGTTTTATATCTGGCTTTTAAGCCAAAATAGTTTATGAGATTATCATAACTTCTCAATTTGGTTCCTAATATTTAAATTGATAGAAGTGGGATTGTCTACCGTCAATCATCTTGGTCATTATGTAATATTTGTTAAATTCAATAAACCACTAGTTCAAAGGGAGAAGTTGATTTGACAAAAAAAAAAAAAACCTCAATTTAACAGAATTTTCTTACAAAATAACCAA